GTTTCAATTGATATATTTATTTGAGATTCCATTACCTATTTTCCCCTAACTTTATCCTGCACATATTTTCTATGCTAGCTGTTTCATTGTCTTGTTTGTTAGTACTCAGTTGAGAAACAGCTACATAAAAAGAAACACTTTGATCATGTCTATTATTTTCACTTTAAATGTGTAGCTTAAAAATATCTTTCATTTATTCCTTGTATATGTTGCAGAGGAGAAAAAAAGTAAAGACAGCATCTTTGGTCTCTCTAGAGACTAGAAATTAAATTATCGTTTTATATACAGTAATACAAAATCTTATTTTCAGTCAGAGCATGCCTGTCCTCTATTGATTTTAGTGCTAGAGAAATAATTAATATCTTCTGTATTCAACAGGCTCAGATTTATTTACTATACTTTTTTAACTAAAGATTCTTTTTGGGGGGGGTTTAACTACTTGAAAAATGTTCCAGTTATCCTGAAAAAGAAATTGATTATATTATCTCTTTAATTATAGCATAGCATTTTATTGAGTGATAATACTACCTAAAGCATGTAACTTCTAACCAAGTCATCAATATTCATTTTAGTTTCAGATAGATTAGAAGTACAGAATCCTTTTTTATTTTTATTTTTTTGCATGTGGAAGGAGATAAGTGTACTTTATACTCCTTAAAAGGCAATTCTGGGCTTTTTGCAGTTAGCTGATGTCCTGACCTTTAGAGCATTCTTCATGGCTTCTGGGCATTGGCTCATGCTTGGCCTAATTTGACAGATATTGGGCAAGTTGTTCTCACTGGCATTCTGCTCCTTGCGTTTAAGACCTGGCAGTGACATCTTTCAGCTTAAGAAAAAACAGCATGAACAACTGTGCTCAAAATTCTACACAGAGACGTCCAAGAAAAGTTTACTTTTTTGAGAAAATAACATAATTTACCACAGGTAATCCTTTGAGGGTATCTCTAAATCCACATGTATTTTTGAAATAGAGAAAGCTATTTAATTGGTGTTTTTAGATAAATGTAATATTCATGAAATATTTTGAGATCTCCAAGTATATTCAAGAGTTAATCTATTTTAAAAATTTTAAATACTCATTTCATCTCCATATTCATTTATAATTTTTATTCCAAAATTTTAAGAAAATACCTTTAGGATAAACTGTGTATATATTTGTATTTTTATAAAGAAGATTAAATAGGAAGACAATTTTTATGAATGTCTAGTTTAATAAGATTCAAAAATTATTTTAATGTATTCAATTAGAGATATATCTTGTACTGACATACAAGAGAAGTATAACTTAAAATTAATTTTCTTCAATAAAATATTGAAAACATAATCACTGAATATGTTTAAAACGAATTCAATGCATTTTTTTCTATTAATTTTTATAATATTGGAGAATAAGATTAACCAAAATGTCAGCTTTGTTTTCTTTATTGGCATGAGAAAAGACAGTTTTTTCAGTTGTTCATGCCACACCTAATTACAGAGTCTATTCAGAAGTCAAAACACATCTAGAATTTTTGTGTCCTGATTGCATGATGCTACCCTGTGAGGTGACATACAGGAATGTGTTTTAAAGCGCTTGAATGAGAGATTGTTGGAGATGTAAGATGTAGCAAGCGTATTTCACAGAGAGACAACCCCATTTTTCTGCTCCAACAATATGCATTTAAAAAAGAATAGATTCCATGTACCTATATTTTTTACAAAATCCTGGAAACTAAACTCGCTCTTCTAGTTCCGAGCAAAAGGAAATGTATGCACAAATGATAATTTAGTTATATGTGTATGCACAGAGATTAAGTAATTTATATTTTCTGAAACGGTTTCCATATGACAATCATATTTAATAGAGTATGGCATAATACACAATGACCAAAGACTAGAAGATTAATCTAAATTATTTAATTAAGATAAAAATGTATTCTGTTAAGGGTTTTCATATTTTGATGCTATCTTTATGATATGTGAAATACTGGATTAATATTCTATTTTGTTTAATTTTCTTTTTGTCAACATTTTGAGGATCACTTATATCACTGACATTTATTATTTTACATTGTTGATAGAAGATGTATATTCTCTCGCAAGTATTTCATATCTCTCCTGCCATGTCATTATATTTTCATTACACTTGAAGTTGAATGTGTCTATGGGATTCACTTTGGGCAATGACATGTGAGCAGGAGTGGTTACTTTCACTTCTAGGTGGAACTTTTGGGAAAAAACAGGCACATACTCTCTTTCCCATATCGAACTTGCAATGGAGCCAGGGCTCCTGTCTGCCTTCCATGGACATGAGGCAGAATTGAGTAACAAGCTTTGGTTGTTGTGTCACTGCAGCATAACTTGGGGGACCCTAACTATATAAACCTGCAAAATCTTTTAAAAAATAAAATAAAAGAGACAGAGAGAAAAGGGTAAAAGTTGTGTGGCTTGAGAAGATAGAATAAATGCTTTATTTTCCCAAATGTGAATCTCCAAAGACGACTTTCTTTTAATGCTGCTCTATTTCTGATTTATACGCTATTAAAAATGAATGTAAAGACTGAAAATGAAATGAATAAAGTTGTACTAGACAAAACTCATGAAATTACAATCTCACTTCTGATCTTCATTTCTTCTCCTTCATAACATGAACTTCTAATTTTCAGAAAGTGTCAGGGTTTTCAATAAAAATACTCTTTTCTTAATTTTTATACAACTCTTTAAAAGACATGATATGCCTGCACTAGTATAGGTTGTTCTCACATAAAATAATTGGTGCAAATATAGTTTTCTTAAATGTCTATACGTCTTCTTCCAATTCTTTGAATACCTTATTCAACATGAAAATCTTGGGAACAACATAGCACATCAATTTTAAAGAATGTACAGAAGTTATGAAACTGATAAGATCATAATTTTAAACAATTTTAATATCCTCCCTCCCCAAATTAACGTTATTGAGCATAATAAAAATATATGAGAACAGAAGAATAGAAGAAGAATACAAATAAATACAATAAAATAAATAAATTATAAGGTCTTTAGTAGCATGTTATGTATTTTGTTTGATAGCTTGTTGCATTTCAAGGATTTCTTCCCCACAATAAGAACACTTAAAACTATATTACTAAAAGAACACATACTGTTTAGTAATATTCAAACTGCTTGAATCTTTTGTTCCTAAATGGCTTTATTCCTGAAAAGCAGATAAAATTTAATCTGATTGGAGTTATAAATATGTCAAGAATTGGTATAAATCCATCATTAAATATCACACTACAGTTTGAGATGCTCTACAAATATCAACAGAGTATCATCTTTAAAGTTTTAAAGATATTAATCAAATATATTAATAGGATAAAACATACTGCAAATCTTTAAAACAGTGAAGGCAGTAGAAATAAGAACTAAGCATTAAAAAAAGTGTATAAACTATATAATTGCTTTGTATTTGGGATCATATCACATGAAGTATCAAATTCTACTTTTATAAATGTGCAATTAAAATTAGTCTGAGTTATCAAAAATATTTTATAAACAAAAATATGAGATATATTTTAATGAATTGCTATTTAATAAAAACAGTAACATATTTTTAAATTCTCTTTTTGAGCTCACATTAATATTTTCTTTAACAACCTAATAATTATATATGCTTATAGATTTTTAAATAACATTTTTCTAGTATTTTATTTAACGTTATAGCTAATTTTCAGAGATAAAAACAAGAATGTGTCAGTATGGCGATTCCTCAAGGATCTAGAACTAGATGTACCATATGACCCAGCCATCCCATTACTGGGTAGATACCCAAAGGATTATAAATCATGCTGCTATAAAGACACATGCACACATATGTTTATTGCGGCACTATTCACAATAGCAAAGATTTGGAATCAACTCAAATGTCCATCAGTGACAGACTGGATTAAGAAAATGTGGCACATATACACCATGGAATACTATGCAGCCATAAAAAGGATGAGTTTGTGTCCTTTGTAGAGACATGGATGCAGCTGGAAACCATCATTCTTAGCAAACTATCACAAGAACAGAAAACCAAACACCGCATGTTCTCACTCATAGGTGGGAACTGAACAATGAGATCACTTGGACTCAGGAAGGGGAACATCACACACCGGGGCCTATCATGGGGAGGGGGGGAGGGAGGAGGGATTGCACTGGGAGTTATACCTGATGTAAATGACGAGTTGATGGGTGCAGCACACCAACATGGCACAAGTATACATATGTAACAAACCTGCACGTTATCCACATGTACCCTAGAACTTAAAGTATAATACTAATAATAAATAAATTTAAAAAAAAAAGAATATGTCACAATGGAGTGCTTTTAAATTATAGGAGAAAAGGCAATTTGTGGTGTTAATATTTTAAGTGTTCTACACTTTTTTCTTTAAATTTATTTTTAATATATCATTCATTAAGTAGTATTAAGAATGTTCAATCTAAATAGTAATTAATATGAGATATAATTTCCACAGTTGCACAGGGAGAACCTTTACCTTATACCATTCAACTAGAAAATAAAACAGAAGACATCAGTTTCTTCTCAAGCCTATTCTCTCACTTTAATGGTTAAATAGGTGTGTAGATCAAACAATTACATTGTCAAACCTATCCCTCAAAAGACTTTCAGTAAAAGTTACATTTTCTGAAATAATTCTCTTAAGGTCATGCTCACTCATTTATGTAATTAAATATTTATGTATAAATTGATTTATTCAATAAACACGTAACAAATGCATACATAGTGTGTTGCATCCTGAAGTACGCACAAAGACAATCAAAGCAAGATTACTATGGCAAGAACCTACAACATGGGTTTCGATCACTTAGGTCAATTTGATGAGACTTGAAATGAAAATTAGGCACATCATAGTTTAGAGATAGTTACATATCAAACCAAGAACTTTGCATTTTATTAGACGGAAATTAAAAATCACTTATAGAATTGACCATTCCTTCCAAAGGATGAATGCAATGTGGCAGCCTCCTTATTTCAGGTCTGCAGTTCTCCCAAGAATCATTTCTTTGCAGCTATCTTTAGCAGGAACCACTTCCTCTTCCCAAATCCAGAGAACATGGAGGTGGGGGTATGATGTATTCTCTTAGCTCCAAACCACTATTTTCCACTATCTGGTAGAAATCCTAACTAGTAGATTGAACCACATAAAGTAGAAAATGTTCAACCATTTTCCGCCTACATAAAAGGTAATTTCATGAGTCACCTATTATTTTGAATCTAATAGGACTTCCTTTTATACACTGATATCATCATTTAGCAACAATAATACTTGACTCACAATCTATTTATCCATTGAAATACTATAATCAAACACAACAGTGATATTACTTTGCAGGCGTTGCTATCAACACCCTTATCTTATACTTCTTTGTTCTCAAATCCAGTCATCGCCACTTCTATTCTTCACCACCCTTTTATATACCCATACTCTAAACCTTCTTGACTTGTACATATTTCATCTCTACATATCTAAATTATTACCAGATAATTACAAAAAGAGCAGCCAGGGCTCTGTGTCACATTCAAATACAGTTCAGTGGTTATTAGCTTAACATTTTCAGCTGTGTAACTTTGAGCAAATTACTTTACCTAGTAAGCCTGTTTCTTCATCTATAAACAGAGTTTTTCCACCTCAGCACTCCTGGCACTTGGCCCATATAATTCTTCACTGTGGAGGGCTGTCCTACGCATTACAGGATCCCTGGCCTCCACAATAAATGTCAGTAACACCCTCTTCTCCAGTTGTAAAGACCTAAGATATATGCAGATTTGCCAGATGTCCCTTGGAAGACTTGGAAAGTAAAATTGCTACTCACCCACTGTCCTGTAAAATAAAGGCAGTAGTTGTATTTATCTTATATATTTAAGAGGAATATGTCAGGAAAATAATAAAGCAAATAGTATCATTATACAATGAACTAGCCATCAGCATTATCTTCTTTGGCAATGAAAATACTGCCACAAATGGTTGAATACTTGTCCAGATCAATAGTACTACCAAACGCATGATCTTTAACCACTTCTAAGTCCTCAGAATTACTTGGGAATCAGTCTTTATGTCCCCATCTTCATTCGTCTCATGTCCACATCTTCATTCCTCTCAGGACATATTTAAAATCTTCCTCATTTTTTTCAAGTAATTTACACCACTCCTCACTGTCACTCCCACTCAATACAGATAATCTTACCTCCTACTATGTATGCAATGTAAAGAAAAAATGGAAGCCCATCTCCAAGATAAGGGAATTGAGTTCCAGCCCACTGCAGTAAAAATATTTCAATAAACTGTGTCATGATTTCTTTTGATTTCCCAGTGCATATAAAAGTTACGTTTACACTAGAGTCTACTTTGTGTACAATATCATTGTGTCTAAAAAATGTACATAACTTAATTTAAAAATACTTTATTTCTAAAAATGCTAATGATCCTATGAGCCTTCAGAGTGTGATAATCTTTTTGCTGGTAAAGAGTCTTGCTTTCATGTGGACAGCTGTTGATTAAGCAAGGTGGTGGTTAGTGAAGTTGGGGTGCCTGTGACAGTTTCTGAAAGTAAAACAACAATGTGGTTTGATACACAGATGGACTCTTTCTTTCACAGAAAAATTCTCTGCAGCATACCATGCTATTTTGTAGCATTTTATGCACAGTAGATCTTCTTTCAAAATTAAAATTAATCCTCTCAAGCCTTGCCACTGGTTTATCAAAAAAGAAGAAGTCAAATTGTCCCTCTTTGCAGATGACGTGATTGTATATTTAGAAAACCCCAATGTCTCAGCCCAAAATCTCCTTAAGCTGATAAGCAACTTCAGCAGTCTCAGGATACAAAATTAATGTGCAAAAATCACAAGCATTCTTATACACCAGTAACAGACAAACAAAGAACCAAATCATGAATGAACTTCCATTCACAATTGCTTCAAAGAGAATAAAATACCTAGGAATCCAACTTACAAGGGATGTAAAGGACCTCTTCAAGGACAACTACAAACCACTGCTCAGTGAAATAAAAGAGGACACAAACAAATGGAAGAACATACCATGCTCATGGATAGGAAGAATCAATATCGTGAAAATGGCCATACTGCCCAAGGTTATTTATAGATTCAATGCCATCCCCATCAAGCTACCAATGAGTTTCTTCACAGAATTGGAAAGAACTGCTTTAAAGTTCATATGGAACCAAAAAAGAGCCCGCATCTCCAAGACAATCCTAAGTCAAAAGAACAAAGCTGGAGGCATCACGCTACCTGACTTCAAACTATACCACAAGGCTACAGTAACCAAAAGAGCATGGTACTGGTACCAAAACAGAGATATAGACCAATGGAACAGAACAGAGTCCTCAGAAATAATACCACACATCTACAGCCATCTGATCTTTGACAAACCTGAGAGAAACAAGAAATGGGGAAAGGATTCCCTATTTAATAAATGGTGCTGGGAAAATTGGCTAGCCATAAGTAGAAAGCTGAAACTGGATCCTTTCCTTACTCCTTATACGAAAATTAATTCAAGATGGATTAGAGACTTAAATGTTAGACCTAATACCATAAAAATCCTAGAGGAAAATCTAGGTAGTACCATTCAGGACATAGGCATGGGCAAAGACTTCATGTCTAAAACACCAAAAGCAATGGCAGCAAAAGCCAAAATTGATAAATGGGATCTCATTAAACTAAAGAGCTTCTGCACAGCAAAAGAAACTACCATCAGAGTGAACAGGCAACCTACAGAATGGGAGAAAAATTTTGCAATCTACTCATCTGACAAAGGGCTAATATCCAGAACCTACAAAGAACTCAAACAAATTTACAAGAAAAAAACAAACAACCCCATCAAAAAGTGGGCAAAGGATATGAACAGACATTTCTCAAAAGAAGACATTCATACAGCCAACACACACATGAAAAAATGCTCATCATCACTGGCCATCAGAGAAATGCAAATCAAAACCATCATGAGATACCATCTCACAGCAGTTAGAATGGCGATCATTAAAAAGTCAGGAAACAACAGGTGCTGGAGAGGATGTGGAGAAATAGGAACACTTACACTGTTGGTGGGATTGTAAACTAGTTCAACCATTATGGAAAACAGTATGGCGATTCCTCAAGGATCTAGAACTAGATGTACCATATGACCCAGCCATCCCATTACTGGGTATATACCCAAAGGAGTATAAATCATGCTGCTATAAAGACACATGCACTTGTATGTTTATTGCGGCACTATTCACAATAGCAAAGACTTGGAATCAACCCAAATATCCATCAGTGACAGACTGGATTAAGAAAATGTGGCACATATACACCATGGAATACTATGCAGCCATCAAAAAGGATGAGTTTGTGTCCTTTGTAGGGACATGGATGCAGCTGGAAACCATCATTCTTAGCAAACTATCACAAGAACAGAAAACCAAACACTGCATGTTCTCACTCATAGGTGGGAACTGAACAATGAGATCACTTGGACTCGGGAAGGGGAACATCACACACTGGGGCCTATCATGGGGAGGGGGGAGGAGGGAGGGATTGCATTGGGAGTTATACCTGATGTAAATGACGAGTTGATGGGTGCTGACGAGTTGATGGGTGCAGCACACCAACATGGCACAAGTATACATATGTAACAAACCTGCACGTTATGCACATGTACCCTAGAACTTAAAGTATAATAATAATAATAATAATAAAAGAACTTACATAAGCAGAGGCTGTTTTTATGGTTGCATTGTTTGACTTTGTCTCTTGTACTTGGGCCATTCACTTCAGCAGTATAAGAATTTCCTGAAATGCCCAATGGAAAACAATTAAAGCAGACCTGAACCCAACTCATAGCCTAAAGTCCAGCCAATCCTTCAAGAGCCCAGCACAGCCACAACCTCCCATACATGCCTGAGTGAGAAATCAATGCATATACACCACACAGCCAAAAGCTGCTATGGAGTAGTTTGTTACACATGGTTATTAAATTGTTACATCATTCTAGATATCTTTTCTTCTATCCCAATGGAAATCGTTCTCTCTTCTGTCAACGATCATTTTCACTGTCCTCTGAATTTTGCCTTCTTGAAACTCTTACTTCAGTATGCCCAACACTGAACTTTGTTAGACTTTTGGACTTTAAGTCAGTTCCTCCCATCCTCTACAGTACCCTCCCTATCCCCGGCATTTACACCCTCCCTTCCCATACTGTTCAAGCTCCAGTAGTTCCTATATAATCATGCTCCCGTGGCTCCTTGGTTAGGCACTGAATGTTCTTTGGATTGAATTGTTCAGAAAATTTGGAGAAGAGAAGAGAATAAGGAAAGGTAGAATTTCTTTATATGTTCCGAGTATGCTATTTTTTTCTAGGCATTACAGATGTTTAATCCTAGATTGATCCTTACTTTTTAAATTTGTTAAATATATCTTCCTCCATTCTTTCAGAAAATATACATACTAATGAAGTTAAATGTACATCTTTACTCATATGAGTTGTACTTTTCAGATCTTGTCTAAAGACATTTTTGACAGTGGTCATAAATACATACAATATTTTCTTGTTAAAATTTAAGATTTTATCTCTTATTTAAGTCTTTTAACACATCTGAAATTTATTTGTATATGTAACGGGTTTTTATTTTACCTTTTCAGTGTGATTTATTAAATAGTTGATATTTTCTTCATTGACTTATAATGCTTGGGTTTTATAGCAAAAACATCCACAAATTCTTGATCTGCCTACAGATTGTCCATTCTGTTCCATTGGTAAATTTCAAATAAAAAATAGTTCCACATATAAGTAAAAAGAGATTTTATCTGAAAGGATTATTGCAAGTGTAGAGAAAGGGACAACTGTAATTGAGAGGACTATTGTAATAGAAAGAACAAGTCAAGTGTAAGATTGGCAAGAATCTTAAAAGTTAGGCAGAAAAGTTTTTCTTTTACAGGGAGGAGTAAATAAGGCTAGAAAGAACCAGTTGTGTAAAGTGGGATGAGCTAGGTTGGCGTGATCTAACAGGAGATCAGAGAATGTTCTGCCCTGAGCCAGCCTTTTCCAGAAGGGGTTGTTAAGAGGGCATTGTCCGCTGGCTCTGGCTGAGGTTGAGTCAAAGTTCAAGTGCCAAAATTTGGTTACTAATTATTTTCTTCCAAGTGATCAGTGGGAGAGAAAGAGTTCAGCTAATCATTTATGTGGCAAAAAAAAAAAAAAATGCAATTTTGCGATTTTGTACTTCTCTTGTCATGGATAAAAAGATAAAAATAAAGAGTTTCAAGAAGGCAAAATTCATAGATAAAAAATAAAGAGTCCTACCAAAGTCATACAGAAAAGCATATTTCTTTATTTCTTTGCAAAAGAGGTATTCTGGAACACAAAAGGCTAGGGAATTTATTTTACCATTACTGTTGACCAGGATCACAGCGCTCTTGCAAATTTTAATACTGTTATCAATTTGCACAAGTATCACAGTTTTATGTTCTATAGTCGTATAAACTTTAATATATGGTAAAGCAGCTTAGTCTTCCTTAATTTGTTTTCAAAATTGTCCTAGGTATTATCAATCCTTTAGCCAATTCAAGAACAACTTAAAAAGCAATACAGGTATATCTTGTTTTATTGTGTTTTGCAGATATTACGTTTTTTACAAATTGAAGGTTGTGGCAACCCTTCGTCAAGCAAGTCTATTGGTGTTGTTTCTCCAACAGCATGTACTCATTTTGTTAGCATTTTTAGCAATACAGTATTTTTTAATTTATTAAGGTATGTACATTGATTTTTTTAGACATAACATTATTGCATACTGAATAGGCTACAGTTAGTGTAAACGTAACTTTTATATGCACTGGGAAACCTAAAAATTTGTATGATGGACTTTGTTACAATATTCACTTTATTGCAGTGGTCTGGAACCAAACCTGTGATATCTCTAAGGTATTCCTGTATTTTTATAAGTCAGAAATTTCATTGTATTTATGGATTAATATACAAATAAACGACTTTTTAGTGACATTTTATTTTCTTCCCCTTGTATATGGTATATACATTTATATATTTAGATTTCTTCTTTAGTAAAAAGTTATGGGTTTTCCTGTAGGTTTACTATTATTTATCTTAAATATATACTTAGGTACATTATAGTGTTTATTAATCTTAAAAACAGAATACTCATATTAGTGTTACTATATGTCTAAGTTTACAACTAATATAAAGAAAAATTATCAATATATGTATATTAGTTTTAGGTTCAATAAACTTGCTAATTCATTTGTTAGTTTACTTTGTTTGTAAATTTTTCCCTTTGTGTGTATGTTAATGTCTTCTGGAAATAAAAATGTTCTTGATTTCCTGTCTTTATAGTACTTAATTCTTCTTGTGTTGGTTAGTACCTCTCGTATACAACATTGAATACAAACAGTACTAGAAAGCTTCTTGGCTAATCCTTGAATTTTTGTGAATACTTTAAATTTTCACTAGGATCCATTGAGCTTTCTAAAAAAAACAAACAAACAAAAAAAAAAAAAAAAACAAAAAAAAAACAAAAAAAAAAAAACTTTACCTTACTAAAATGACAATACTGCTTACTCCCAACTCAAATATATGAAACAGATTTTTACCAAAAGGAAAATATATAACAGTACCTACATATGGTATTATTGATCTTTGTGGGGCATCACTTTTTGTCTATGCGTGAAATGCATTGTAAACCTGCCGATACCAAGGCCAAGACAATAGGCTACCAATGTTGCAACTCCAAAAGCATATGATCCTTCCTATCAAATATGCCACCCTTGAGTTTCTTTGATCCCACAACGTGGTCATAAGAACACTCTCTTGACATTATAAAATAGGCATTTTCAATCAATCTAATGCCAGGAGTTAAGGGAAATTACTGATGTATTCCACAATCTGGGGAACTAAAATCTTAAAAAAAAAAAAAAAAGAAAAAGAAAGAAAGAAAAAAGAAAACAATTCACACACAAAAAAAATCAAGCCAAATTCTAAGTGGACTCAGTAAAATCCTGATAGCCTCCAAATGGTAACTAAACTAGAAACAAATAAGTCAAAAACCAGATCAAACCACACTAAACCAAAACAAAAAGCTCCATCATGTTTTGGGTAAAAATATAGCATTTAAAAAAATCTAAGCTCCTGAGAAACTCAGAAAAAAACATGGCTTGTAAAATCTTCCAAAATGTAATGAAAGTCCTAGAAAGTTATAAAACTAGAGTTTAGGAACGAGGTCAGAGAATATTTCTGAATCAGAGAGAAGGAAGTAGCTGCAATGTAAGGACACGCACTACATTTGAAACGGAGAAGGGACTTCTTGGAGCATAAAGGTGGTGTCATTTCACCTTACTCCTCATAATAGCCTGGAGACAACCAGCTTATTTAAATAAGAAGAAAATGATACTTTGTTTAATCCATGTGAATTATGAGAAGAAAATTGATGAAATATAAATAAATAATGGTCAATAAAAGAGAACACACTGTTAAAATATAGCAATAAAGTAGAAAATATAATAATGCAATTTTCAAAGTAAACCAAAGTCTTGATAAAATAATGACAAGATTGAACTAACAGCATTAATTGGAAAAAATTAATATAGCAGAACTAAAAAATATAAATTATATCAGCAAGTATAAATAAGCTGGACTTTGAAACTGTTAGCATATGAAATATTTACATAACCTTCACTCCAATGGAAAACCAGAAATAACAATCCTGGTTGTTATATACTCATATATATTCTATATATACTCATAAAATCATGAATATGTATAGAAATTGAAAAGTGGAAGACGCAAACACGCACACTCATAGAGAAACAAACAAACAAAATCTCCCTCGGTTTCCTAATTCTTCACGGTAAACTGAAAGACACATCCATTTCTGAGAGTAAACCCAGTAAGAGGAGAGGCAGTTTGAGAAATATTTACCAAAGAGTCAATTTACCTAATCTGAAAGAGGACTGTTGAGCTAATAGTGATGGAGATGGGGCAGGTGGGACCCACTGGAATCTGAAAAACTTCAATTGCAAAATTAATTTTCTCAGCCAATAACACTCCCCATCCTTACCCCAGGTTTTCAAGTTGTGCTAAGAAACTTGAAGTAAAATTGAGACTGCAAAAGAGACCTGCAAAAGTCTCCTGTTCCACTTAATGGAAAGTGAGTGGTACCTATTATAGATTGAATGTAGATAAAGGTGAGTGGGTACCTATTATAGATTGAATGTCTTCCACGTGTCCTCCAAAATTATACGTTGAAACCCAATCACCAAGGTGATAGTAATAGGAGGTGGGGCCTCTGGGAGATGATTAGGTCTTAAAGGCTCCACCCTCATGAATAGAATTAATGCCCCTATAACAGAGGCTTCAGATCACTGCCTTTTCTTTTGTCTTTTTTGTTACGTGAGGACACAATGTTCATCCCCTCCAGAGGACACAGCAACAAGGTGCCATATTGGAAGCAGAGACAAGTCCTCACCAGACACAGAATCTGCTACCATCTTAATCTAGGATTTCTCAGCCTCCAGAACTATGAGAAATAAATTTCTATTGTTTATTGATTACCCAGCTTGTGGCATGTTGTTATAATATTATATATATTTTGTTATAATATATAATATTACATATATTTTGTTGCAACATATTGCATATATTTTGTTGTAATATATCTTATATGTTTAGTCATAATATATTATATATAATTACTTATTATATATAATAATATATATTTCATCATAATATAATATATAATTATATCTTACTATATATCTTATACATAATATAATATATAATTATATGTTATATATAATTATTATATATAAGATATAATATAATTATATCTTATTATATATAAGATATATAATTATATCTTGTTATATATAAGATATAATTATATCTTATATAAATAAATTATATTTATATAATAATTTTATTATATATTATATAATACAATATATTGTATACTGCATATATAATTATATATAATTATATATAATATGTTTAATATATAACATAATATATGTTATATATGACATATATCATATATGATGTTATATATAACATATATCATGTATTCTATATAACATATTATATTAATTATATAGCATATTATTAAAATATATATTATATTTTCTATATAACATATATTATATTTATTATATAATATGTATTATTAAAATATATTTTACATATTATATATTATATAGTTATATATTATTTAAAATATATATAATATTATATATAATATATAATATTCTGAAAAATATATTTTAATGATATTGTATCACCCCATGAAAGACAGAAAGTGTAAACACCTTTGTGCCACAAAGTAATTGAGAAAGGAGTTAGAGAACTCACCTAAGTGAACTGGGTTTACTTTTCTCAGAAAGACATTCTATTAAACCACTGAAGATCAGACAAGAACAATGCTTCTTACATTATTCTTGAGCAATAAAAATATTGCTATTTTTCTAGGACAGATACATTGATACTAAAATATGATGAGGACAAGATTTATGCCATAATATCAATAACAATTAATAAAAAATCACCCAATGAATATTGTCAAATAACCTCCAAAAGGCAGAAATTTACAACCAGAACAGAACAATACTATAATACTATTAAAGTGTCCAGCAATATAAAATATTCAAAATGTCTGTGGTCATTTAGAAATCTCTGGGATTTGGCAGAAAATTTTCTCATTGTATATGATCATTGGTTCAAGTTATTTGGTTCAAGGACCACTGCTTCTATTTCCAGATTGTGAAACGGGTATAATAATATTTGAAAAGTTCTTGTGTAGCATGCATGTTTATTGCAGTGCTATTTACAATAGCAAAGACATGGAACTGACCCAAATGCCCATCAATGATAGACTGGATAGAGAAAATGTGGTACATATACACCATGGAATATTATGCAGCCATAAAAATGAGTGAGATCATGTCTTTTGCAGGGACATGGGTGAAGTTGGAAACCATCATCCTCAGCAAACTAACACAGGAACAGAAAACCAAATAATGCTTGTTCTCATCCGTTAGTGGGAGTTGAATAATGAGAACACATGGACACAGAGAAGGGAACAACACACATTGGGTCCTGTTAGGGGGTGATGAGTGAGGGTGAGGACAGGTCAACAGGTGCAGAAAACCACCATGGCACACGTATACCTATGTAATAAAGCTGCACCTTCTGCACATTTGTCCAGGTATTTTTTTAGAAGAAATAAAATTTTAAGACAAAAAAATGTTTTTGTGCAGACAAAATGTGAAGTCTAAAAGTGATTCAAATAATTTTAATTCATTTATTCATTCATTGTTTTTCACCAAAAATACTTTTTAGCACCTACTAAAATTTAAGTACTGAGATTGCAGAAGTGAACAATATCAACAAAAATTTCTGCTTTGCAGAGCTTACATTCTAGTGTGTTTTGGGGGATGAAAATATAGAAAATACAAGAGTAATATATAGACAGTGTTTAGTAGTGGTAGTTCATGGGAAGAAAAACAAAGCAAGGGACAGGTACAGAGAGTGAAGAAAAAATGCAGTTGAAATTTTAATTAGGGCTCCCACTGAGACCCTGCTGAGAAAGGACATGTGAGCAGAGGACTGAAAAATACAAGGAAATGATCCATGTAGATATCTAGGAAGAAATTATTTTAAGCAGAGAAACAGCAAGTGCAACTCTTCTGATATAGAAATGTGCCTATGTTGGCAAGAAGTAGCACAAATTCCAGTATTGCTATAGCATTGTGAGTCAGCAGGTAGGACAAAATGATGTCAGAAAGTGTACAGAGGGCAGATGGAGTAGGGCCTTGTAAGCCATTGTGTAACATCAGATTTTTCACTGTTAAATGAACTGGAAAATCACTGGGAGATTTTCAGCAGAGGTGTGAATGTGAATTGACTTGCATTTTAATAGAATGCTTCCTTCTACAGGGTTGCGAAAAGATTCACTGAGCAAGAACAAGTTCTGGGAAACAGTTCAAAGTTACTTTGAGGAAAGAAGTTATTAAAAAGTAGACCCTAGTCTTTCATGATGAATTATATGTGACATGAAAGAGAAAGTGAGTAATCAAAATTACACCCATGTGTTTTGACTTGTGTACCTTAAAAAAATGGAGTTGACATTAATTAACTTAATTAACAATTAATGAATGTGGACTATTATTTAATTTATCAGACTATAGGTAATTAATAATCAAGACATGCAAGATTTTAGGGGAAGATCTAGAGTTAAGTTTTAATCAAGTTTGAGTTACTTATTAGAAATTCAAAAGGAGATGTTAAATAAGCAGTTGCATATACAACAGAAGCTTTTACAAATAAGGAGAGGTTGAAGTAGGAGCTAGAGAGTGGAAAATTTTCAGAGAATATATGCCATCTAAAGTTGTGCGACAATGTACATCAAGAGCGAAAAAATGTAAATGAAAAATACGAAATCAGTACAAAAATGCAGAGGCTAAAGAAATGGGTAATTTAATTGTGCAATAAATAGTGATGATTAATCAACCACCTTTGTTTGAAAAGGAAATACAGATGCTCCTTGACTTACATTATGACAAACATTGTAAATTTAAAATATCTAAAGTCAAAAATTCATTGAACACACCTAAGCTTCTGAACATTATAGCTTAGCCTAGCCTTTCTTAAATGTGCTCAAAACATTCACATTAGCCTATGGGCAAAATCATGTGGTAACACAGCACATAAAGAAGAACATCAGTGACTTACCCTTGTGTTCAACTGGCTGACTGAGGGCTTGCTGCCACTGTTCACCACCACAACAGGGTATCACAAAGCACCTTGGTAGGCCTGGCACAAGGTGAAAACCAAATTTCGAAGTATGGTTTCTACTAAATATATATCACTTATGCATCATCTTAAAGCAGAAAACTCAAGTCAAACCATTGTAAGTCGGGACCATTTGTACATCTATCTATTCAATTGCCTTCAAGATGTATGAAATATCTTTGCATCCTGTCTCCAAGCAGGTAATATTGCAGAAGGTAATACATTTTGATATAAATATACATATAAACACACACATATATATATATATCCTAAATGAATAGAAAATGTATGTATATAAATATATATTATATATAAAATGTTACGTACAACTACATGTGTGGTACAATGTATATTAACATAGTTATATATCATGTATTATAACTAATATACAATATACATATATGTAATATATATTATATATGTGTATATACATATATATTAACCAACTATATCACTTTATTTTATCAGGTAATATACTCAAATAAATTAATTAAAAGTGACCTTGAAAATGCAGAACTATTATTTGCCAAATTTTATTTTTCTGTCTGTACATTAATATCTTCTTTATTACATAGGTATACGTGTGCCATGGTGGTTTGCTGCACCTATTGACCTGTCCTCTAAGTCCCTTACCCTCACTCATAGTAAATCTCTATCTTGAGGCAAACACAATGCCAACAAAAACCTCGCATGAAGATTGTCCTCAAAAAGTTTGCAGTTGGAGAGAGTTGTACATGTAGACTGTAATTATAATACCTTATGGCACATGCAGCAATGGAGAATGCACTGATTATTTAAACACTGAATAAAGTATTTTTCCCCCTTCGGTTAAATCTGATTTTTAATGATAAATTCTTCCAAATGGTTAAAGATAGCTTTCTGGATTAGAGAGTCTCTATCCGAATCTCTAAGTAAAGAAGGATTAGAAACACCATGGAATAATATGCAGCCATAAAAAAGGATGAGTTTGTGTCCTTTGTAGGGACATGGATGCAGCTGGAAACCATCATTCTCAGCAAACTATCCCAAGATCAGAAAACCAAACACCGCATGTTCTCACTCATAGGTGGGAACTGAACAATGAGATCATTTGGACTCGGGAAGGGGAACATCACACACCGGGGCCTATTATGGGGAGGGGGGAAGGGGCAGGGATGGCATTGGAAGTTATATTTGATGTAAAGGACGAGTTGATGGGTGCTGACGAGTTGATGGGTGCAGCACACCAACATGGCACAAGTATACATATGTAACAAACCTGCACGTTATGCATATGTACCCTAGAACTTAAAGTATAATAATAAAAATTAAAAAAAGAAAAAGAAAAACAAGGGAGGACAGTGAAAGAATCACTGCCTCAAAGAATCGTGTAAACAAGAGGATGATGGATAAAAACAACAAGCTGTGCTCAGAGGAATAAAGCAGATCAGCATTTCCGGTGCCTGCGTTTCCTGAAACAAGATGGTAGTTACCTTTGTGTTGGGGGCAGCGGTGAGTAACAAAGTTGGAGAGATTTCACTACATAAAACAACTTGAAATAATGAGATTTTATATTTTAAACAACCTTCATCAAACTTGAATTTGTTTGTTGAATTACCTGTCTTGCCCTCCTTCTGAAAAGTGAATTCTGTTTCCAGAAACTACAAAATAAATGGTCAATAATTAAATTTCAAATTACGACGTGACTAAACAAATGACACGAACAGATTTCTTTTTAAATACATTTCTCTCCTGTCAGTGTGATAGCTGAACTCGATGACCATACAACTGAAAGCACAAAAAATCAATTAAAATATTTGGCATAAATATAAGTTATACTTGAGAATTTATTGCAAAATTATATTCGTGATATTAAGAAAACAGAGGGTAATAGACAAATTAAGCCCAGTGATTGGAAACAAGGTGGGAGGGAAGAAAGAGTCAAGGACAAACTCAAGTTGCTAACTTAGGAACTGAAAGTGAGAGAACTAAGAGATTGGATATAGAAAGTAAATAAAACATTTAAACATGAATATTAAACAATACAGTATAGTAGAAAGTAATGTTGAAGAAGAGCTAATCTTGTTTGACAGTTTAAGATAAATAACGATTAGGATCAGTATTAAGCAAAATGTCAATGTTGTTTGCTTTGACACCACTAAGTGACAAATTTTACAGAGATTACCTTTATTACTGGTACTTTATTATTCTCAGGTAATGGTAGGTAGAAAAGACTAATTTTAAGCAATCATTACCACAGATACGTTCCCTGGGAAATTTACTAAACATGCTATTTCAAATAAAATATTCTTTAGTACTCTCTGTGTGAAATACACAGTTTAAATATGCACTGATGATAACAAAGTATAGCAGATACAAATGGCGACAAATTCAAGCAGTTTCAAATGAAATGAAATTAATATTTGATTTGAAGTCCTTGCCCGAAGTCTAAATTTACCTGCTCAGCATGTGTTTGCTCCACATCTGGTTTCCTCCCCTTATGGTTTCCCAGTAATCAATAGTTATGCAGCATTGCATGAAGCGGTGCTTTAAGGAATCCTTAAGCATTTTTTCAATCTAATTACCTGGAGTTATCTACCTCAGTTTGCTGTAAAAAAATGTTCCAGTTCCTTGGGAACCTTCACAGAGATTGGCAAAGAAAGGCACAAGAGATGTAGTATAATTGGGTGGTAGAGGTGAAAATAAAATTACAGCTTGTTGCCTATTTCCCTCTAGCTGCACATGAAGCTGCTGTCCAGATTGGTGTGTAAAGGCTTTGAGGAGACAATCCTCAATTGCTGACACTAACAGAGGGCTTTTGCGTGAAGATCCAAAGCTTACTATGCTGAGGAATCATGTTGACTTTATTGTACTTTTTCCTTATCTCAGATGTAAAGACTTTCCATGACAGAGTTCTCTGAGGAGGAAACTCTCTACTATCATTTTAAAATGGACATGAAAATAACAAATAACAAACAAGAAACACAGTAAATCAATAAATTTGGGAACTAGTTCTAGCTGTTACCATTTATTCCTATTTTTACATGATGAGGACATAGAATTGGCATTGTTCACACATGAAAACATGTTTTGTTCCTATCACAAAAGGATGTAAAACTTTTATGGTTTTAAATCAGGTTTATCTTCAAGTTATACTACTATAAAAATAGATTCTGAACATTATTGATATATTTTTGATTAGATGTACCTCAAATTTGGAGACATATGGCTTGACCACAGAGCATAGGGACTGACAAGGTAATATAGATGCTCTAAGAAGGCATGGTGACAAGAAGAGAATTATTAGTAAGAAAAACAGAAAAATAAACATTACATGTAAAAATGTTTAACATATTAAAAGTTTCCCAATAATATGCCACACGTGTTATTTCAGATAATTCTATAGTAAGATATTTTAAAGAAATGTAATTGCCAAGAAATAGATAATAATTATGCTTCTTAAACAACTCCAGTGCATAAAAAGAGAGTCTCCAACTCAATTGAAAATAAATCTTAGTAAAATAACTATAGATAAAAATCTAGTAATCAATCCTATATATTATAGGATTATTATACTGTTAACTTAAAAAACAAGCAATTTATTAGCAATTCAACATTTTTTGTTCTCATTTTCATTCTCAAAAAAACTAGATTTTTTAAAAATAGCGGTCATTTTTCGTTTCTCTCTGTTTTATAGTCAAGCATATATTTACATAAAAATAGAAAGATATCTCAGAAATATTGCAGGTTCAGCTCCAGGTCACCACAATAATGCAAATATCACAATAAAAAAATCACACAAATTCTTTGGTTTCCCAGTGAACACAGGAATTACGTTTATGCTATAGTGTATTCTATTAAGTGTTCAATAGTATAATGTCTGAAAATGTACATTCCTTAATTAATACTTCATTTCTAATCAATCCTGATGATTATCTGAGCCTTCCGTGAGTCATTAACTTTTTGCTGGCAGAGGGTCTTGCCTTTGTGTTGATGGCTGTTAACTTACAAGCATGGTGTTTGCTGAAGGCTGGGGTGGTTATGGCAGTTTTAAAAAATAAGACAACAATGAGATTACCACACTGATTGACTCTTCCTTTCACGGATGACTTCTCTGTAGCATGGGATACTGTTTGATTGCATTTATCCACAACAGAACTTCTTTCAAAATTGGAGTCAATCCTCTCAAAACTTACAGCTGCCGTACCAACTAAGTTTATGTAATGTTCAAAATCCTTTGTTGTCATTTAAACAATGTTCACAGCGTATTCACCAGGATTAGATTTCATTTCAAGAAACCACTTTCCTTGCTTATTCACAAGCAACAAGTCTCCAAATTTTATCATGAGACTGCAGTAATTCAGTCACATCTTCAGGTTCCACTTCTAATTCTAGTTCTGTTGCCATTTCTACCATATCTAAAGTTACTTCCTCCACTGAAGTCTTGAACCTTTTAAAGTCATCCATGAGAACTGGAATGAACTTCTGAACTCCTGTTAATGCTGATAATTGACGTCCTTTCATGAATCACAAATGTTTTTAATGGCATCTAGAATGATGAATGCTTTCCAGAAGGTTTTCAATTTACTTTGCCCAGATCCATCAGAGGAATCACTATCTAAGGAAGCTATAGCCTCATAAAATATATTTGTTAAATAATAAGAATTGAAAGTCAAAATGATTCTTGGATCTATGGGCTGCAGAATGGATGTTGTGTTAGCAGACATGAAAACATCATTAATCTCTTTATACATCTCCATCAGAGCTCTTGGGTGACTAGTTGCATTGTTAATAAGCACTATTACTTTGAAAGAAATCTTTTCTTTTTTGAGCAGTAGGTCTCAACAGTGTACTTAAAATATCCAGTAAAGCATGCTGTGAACAGACATGCTGTCATTCCAGGTTTTACTGTTTCATTTATAGAGCATGGGCAGAGTAGATTTAGCATCATTCTTAAGGGCCCTAGGATTTTCAGAATGGCAAATGAGCACTGGGTTCACCTGAATGTCGTCAACTATATTATCCCTTAATGGGAGAGTCAGCC